TTCTTATGCTGATTGTATACATTAGTATGTGTGTAGGATCCATATATTAACTCATTTTAAACGTTATCTTCTTTAAAATACTTTAAGTAACATGATATGTAGTCCAAAATACTTTTATGCTAATACTTAAAGCATTGAATCTATGGTTTTTAATCGATAGTGTATTCGATAACATTTAATGTTATATGTATGTCTTAAAACTATATTTATTAACAGACGAGAATAATAAAATCCTGTTTTCTGAAGTGGAATATTTCGCACATATCTTCGATGTTGGTTTTATATTATGACACTTAATTAATTAATATTTTTATTATTGAATCCGTAATGAGATAGTCTTTGTAAATGTTGTTACTTCTGTCTTTCGACCATTCTTTTTGTCAGTCAAAAGACGTTCTGAACGGGTGGTAAATAAGAGACGATTCAAAATTACTTATAATAAATGAAACAACTCTTAAGGTTTCATCGCGTTTGTATTTAGTTTTAGTGACATTTCGGACCCTATACAGGTTACGTGTTCACATAAGAAAAAGGTGTTAATTTTCTTTGAAACCGGTTAAATGTTGTTTCATTTATGGATAGTGCGTGTATAAAATATAAGAAATTAATATCTTAATATATATAACTCAAAGGTGACTGACTGACATAGTGATCTATCAACGCACAGCCTAAACCACAGGACCGATCAGGCTGAAATTTGGCATGCAGGTAGATATTATGATGTAAGCATACGCTAAGAAAGGATTTTGATCAATTCTACCCCCAAGCGGATAGAATAGGGGATGAAAGTTTGTATGAATTTTTGTCAATTTTAAACCAATCGGACTGAGACTGCATGCATAAAGCTACTATTACGTAAGCATCCCCTAAGAAAGGATTTTGATGAATTCCACCCCTAAGCGGATAAAATAGGGGATGAAACTTTATTTCAGGTATTTAACACATTATAATTAATAAATATTCGTAAGAAATGCTGCTTTAAGTAACTTTACCACGCGGATGAAGTCGCGGGCAAAAGCTAGTTTATAATAAGTTTATTTCAGTTTACCGTTTTTGGTTTTGACACTCATGATTTTAAATTCTCATTAAGGTACCTTACTTTAGTAACAAAAACTTATTGAACATAAATACGCGGTTCATAATACTTGCGATTAATGATTCAATACAAAAATATGTAGTCCATAAAAAAAAATCTAAATGAAACATTCAATAATAAATTGATTGTTACTAATTTACGTAATGTTAAAACTAACAATCAATCTTTATTTTACGACGCACCAAATTAATTGACGCGTCAACACGTCAGTTTTAAAAAGATCGAACCTCTGAATTGAATTTGATACTATTCATTCTCAGTATCTCTTAAATCATTTGAATATTTAAAGATCAAAGTTTATGATACGTATAAATTAAAAAACAAAACCATCTACTATAACTACGCGCATTATTGACACAGACTTCTTCATATGTGTTTCATACTTTTTGACTAATCACAACAAAGTACAATTGACTTTGGAAAAGCAATGAACAACCGTAAAAATATTTTTCAATTTTGTCCCACAACTTAGCACACGTAAATGTCATGCCTATGTCATGTATGATGAAGTTTCCCGTTGGTGAATGAATTTTTAAAATCAGTCCAGTAGTGTAGGAACCTGTTCGATGCAAACAAACAATTAAATCTTCCCTCTTTATAATATTAGTATAGATACCTCATAAGACTTAAACTGTCAATATAATGTTTTGGAAAGTCTAGAATCTTTGATATATTTGACAGTGGCAACACGGAAAGATGAAATAAACCGATTTCTATCTATTTATGATAAACTCGACTTTCTCTGTCTTTGCAAATTTATAAAAAAAAAAAAACATAATATCAAATTATAAGCATAAATGTTGCAATATCCTCTTTTATTTATTTATAAAACTACCGTAGTTATAGTGATGTTTGGTTTGTAGTTAGTAGAAAAAGAACAATCTCAAGGAAGAACTGGTTAATTTTACCTACTAACTGTTCAGTCTCTCGAGTCTCATGTTTCTCTCACTACGGGATGTTGGCAGAATTTCTGTGTATAACGGAACAAGGGCATAACTAAAAATAAAAAGACACTTTCATTCCAATGTTTAAGGCAGGTCGTTGGACGTGTAACGACCATCGCCCTTGAATCTTCTTTGATTCGAAAAGCACCTTTTAAGTTATCGGTTACGGCTATTATCTAATTATGGCGGACATTAACTATCAATCCTTATTTTCGAGAACGTTATTCCTTTATTGGACTTAACAACTTCGTTAAATTTCAATAATTTTAATAACACTTTCCCATCGAAATTTGAGAAAGTAAGATAATGAAGTTGTCTTAAAAGTGATATAACATTCATAAGGTGATAAAAGTCGTTGACATAATGAAGTAGGTACGTTTAGTTCTCACTTTGAATGGTATGTAACCCAATCGAATATAAATGGTATGTTACACAGTTTTAATTATATAAGAAATTCGTATATTTTACATATAAGGTTATAATATTAGAACCAGGCAAATGCGATTAAAATTTCATGGCGTAGTAATTATTTAATTATTTTGTTTAACCGTTATTTATATATAAATATTTATATATATATATACATATATACATATTATATATATGTCGGCGAGAAGGCGCTTCGATTGTGCGAAACGCCATTTGTCACCTGCAGCTGTCATCTGTCAAGATCTATGGTGCTTTGCGAAACGTCAAGTTATGACATTGACGGCTGTCATCGCTTGGGAGTGGTCTATGCTTGTTCGAAGATGGCACTTTTACGTTGTGCGGCCATATTGAGCGGACGCAAGCGCAGAACTCTCCGCGTTTCGTATTGCAATTCGTTTGCATCGAGTTATTATTAATGTACTCCGATTAGATAATTAAGTAATTCAACTAAATAACTGATTTGTGATCTATATGCGATCTTATTTCGAAGGAATATCTCGACCACTAGTCAGATTGCGGATGTTGACTAACCTAACTTTCCGCCGGCCCCGCATGACTTTCCGACATCAGAAGTGGGATGTAACCGACCAAGTGGACACACAGATATCATGGATATGGAGAATCGTATTGCAGTAACAAAATCAAAACTTTCTCGCCCTCATCTACGTCATGACTGGGCCGTTGTCGAGTCACATGTGTATCTGCCCGAATTCGATCCTGACAAAATACAAGAAGAATCACTTGAAGCCTTCGTAAGAAGAACAAAGCGTTCCTAATATGAAGAACAGAAACCTGAACGCTGCTGTCACGTTCTTCAATTGTGGAGCAGATGGTCACTACTCTCAAGATGCCTGTAGCCGAAGAAGATGCAACGGTGGCAAGCTTGATTGATACCCTTGCTAGTATTTTGCAGCATTTTGGTGAGTCGTTTTCATTTTGTTTTGATACTGGAGTCGAGTGCTCCCTTATAATGTAATTAATATCGCGAATAATTCATGGCAATCGAATTAGTAACACTATTAAAATAACTGGTATTGGTGATAGAAATGTTTATAGTATCGTGCAGATTTAAGTTTTGGTTCAGATTGACGATATTGTTTTTTTAATTTCTTTTTCATGTTCTCCTTTAACTTCAACTAGTTTTTATTTGGTAGTTCAACAAAACTTATTCTTTGTAACTATTTTTCTCTCCTTTTTTATTTGTAAAGCAGTAGTATGTAAGTTGCTCAGGTTGTTTACATCTTCCGGGCCTTCGTAGTCGTAGGCGTAAATCGGGCTAGATTTCCCGTCGCATTGCGGCCACGTTTGTGAGTGGCGTGCGTTGGCTAGCAGATGTAAACGATCGCTGTTGGTTCGTCGCATAGAGACGACGGTTGTGTATGGGTACCGGATGGAGGTCACCCGTGGATGTGTTGTGTTGTGGAAGGGTACCGGATGGAGGTCACCCAACCACGTGATTGTTTTGTGATGACCGGATGGAGGTTGTCACAAGGTGCTGGATGGAAGCATCTGAAATTATAGAGTATTGCATACGACACTGTTTTACTATGTAATCCACGATTTCCAATTTTATTTAGAAAGCTAATTTGTCTGATGAGTTTCGTTGAACTGCTTAGTGATCGTAGCATGATTTCATTACTTTCAATATTATTGTTCGAAGACTTACAATTTTGAGTTAGTTTATACAAAATGTAGTAAAGAATCTACTGCGCTGCATATTTTCCCTTTCAGATTGAACCCCCACGCGAGGATGCGTGAGGCTATCAGAATAGCCGTTTCGCAGAGCATCTCCATCACCTTTACGAAGATCGTTTGGTTTAGTTTTCTTTTTTTTTTAATTTTTATTTACTCGATTACTTAATTATTCGATTGTAAAGAGGGCGTGATTATCGATACTTTTAATTCTATTAGAATGGTAACACTGAAGTTGCCGCCATTTTGGCGCGCATGAGTCTCTTTTGCATTTGGGCTGGGAGAAAACTATGGAAAAGCTCTATAGTCATTATTGGTTTGAAAACATGACAAAATATGTTCGTAAATTCGTTGACAACTGTATCACTTGCAAAATTTCTAAAACTCACATAGGTTAAGTGCAGGCTGAGCTTTATCCTATACCTAAGCTTGCTATTCCGTGGCACACTTTGCAACTAGATGCTACTGGAAAACTAAGCGGCAAAAATGATAAAAAGGAGTACGCTTTTGTTTTGATCGATGCTTTTACCAAATTTTCCTTGCTTGTCCATACTCCATACCAATATTGACTCTAAGAACAGCATTCGAGCTTCGAAATTAGCTATCTCCCTATTTGCCGCGCCAATGCGTATTATCGCGGACCAAGGACGCTGCTTGACTAGCCGCGAATTTCGCGAGTTCTGTGACGACTGTTTGTGAGGTATCGTCACTTGGAGGTGACATGAGTTACATCGCTCGAATTAGGTGCGACGACTGTGATTAATAGAATTGATGATGTGCAGAGTAGAGAGAATTATTAATTTGACTGACTGACTGAAGTGACTTCGTTTTGTTACAAAATGAGGAGCGTAATCAGACCAAACAGACCGTTTAAGGTCATGGAGTTGTTAGATGGTGATCGTTATTTGTTAAAGGCGTTAAATTCTAAGAGGACGTACAAGTATGCTCATGATAGACTAAGAAGGATGCCTGAAGGTCAGTTGGTTGTAGAAGAATCGTGGATCAAAGTGATGATCTTGTGTTCGAAGTTCATGGCACATCGCGTGATTAAGTTGGGTAAAACTCGATGGAGGTGTTACTTGAGCGATCAATGGAGTTCCTCATGGGAATAATGCTTGATGGAGGCATTGGTTGTTTATGTGCTCGATGGAGACACTGGTAGCATAACGCTCGAAGCAGGAGTTTTGCTTGTGTTGTTAGAGGCACGAAGAGAACATAATGCTCGATGGAGGCGTTATGTGACTTGATGTGTGCGTTCTATCACTGTATAGAATCGCGATATGTGTTCAGTTGTGTACTGATGACTGTAAGACTTGATTTAAAGTTTGAACTTCAGATATCCTTCGAAGTTGATTTACTAAGGCATTACAGTATTTGATCATTGTACATAGTTGTAATCAGTAAACATAGTTTGTGATCGGTGTGCTTATGTGACGGTATTTTTACTGGTCAGAGATGACCGAGTGATGGCAAAAGCTACTGGTAGTGTTTTCATTTTTAGACTCACACGAGGACGTGTGATGCAGCAGGATGGCCGTGTCGGCGAGAAGGCGCTTCGATTGTGCGAAACGCCATTTGTCACCTGCAGCTGTCATCTGTCAAGATCTATGGTGCTTTGTGAAACGTCAAGTTATGACATTGACGGCTGTCATCGCTTGGGAGTGGTCTATGCTTGTTCGAAGATGGCACTTTTACGTTGTGCGGCCATATTGAGCGGACGCAAGCGCAGAACTCTCCGCGTTTCGTATTGCAATTCGTTTGCATCGAGTTATTATTGATGTACTTCGATTAGATAATTAAGTAATTCAACTAAATAACTGATTTGTGATCTATATGCGATCTTATTTCGAAGGAATATCTCGACCACTAGTCAGATTGCGGATGTTGACTAACCTAACTTTCCGCCGGCCCCGCATGACTTTCCGACATATATATATATATATATATATATATATATACATATATACATATATATATATATATATGTATATATATTTATATATATATATATTGAAAAAATTATAAGAATTGGGGTTTTACCATTCATGTACGGAACTTTTAAATCGACGTCAACGTTAAATATTTTAATGTGTGACAACATAATATTTTACATTTATTCAATTCAAACTTGAAATTCCCTCTATTCAGACTGGTGCAGTTAGAAGTCTTTTAAAAACATCAACTTTTTTCGTACCGATCATTCTGAATAAAACCTTCTCTTAGCTGTGAAGAAAAATAGACGTAGACACAATATTTAAATATTAAATAAAGAGTGCCAATATTTACATTTTATCGCAATAATATATAGCTAAATTATGCAGCTAAAAGTTATTCGTATTTATGAAGAATTTTTGGAATTCTTTACTCTATATCATTATAGTAGTTTTATGTATTTTTTTCTGAAAATATTTATTTAAGCAAAATATTTCAAGTGCCTTTGCCGCAATGATCGAAAACGAGGCCCATTAAGAATAACCCTTACTGAATATTTCAACTGGCATACCACATTGACAGAGTAAGAAGCACTCTAATGATAAATTCAAATCGGCGTCCTTCGGGAACAAAGCAATCAGACGAACAAAGGTTGCTCGCCTCCAGCAAAAGTTGTAAACATTCACGTATAACATGTTGCCTCAATATACTTTTGTACAAACCTTGACTTTTGTAAATACATCGTGAAAAATATACGCTGTCGATCTAAGTTCAAAAACAACAAGACGTGGGTATAACAACTGTCATGTTTCTAGGTCGCATTTATGATATGTCAAAAGTGGTTGACGTTCAGGTTTGTTGACAGTGCATCTATAAAATTATCCTCTTTATTGATATCTCTTTAAAACCTCGCAAGACCACAGTTATTCGCGACTCGGACACATGGCGGGAGAAAATCGCAAATCGGGCGAGTCTACATTATACTTGTAGACGCGTGTTCGCTCGCTAACAAACCGCAGAGCGCGCGGGCAACCATCACCCACCTACAAGCGAACTAACGTGCATTACTTATTATTTCACATTCTACGCGAGTTACAGTCAAAAATGTTCCCGTGTGTTCTCAGGCTAAGAGTGCCACTGAATAAATACTTACTATACAAAAAGATAACATTTTTAAAAATTATAACCTTAGTGAGTATTTCAGTCAATATTTCAGTTAAATCAAACCACAGAAAAGAACCGATTTAGTTTTTCGACAAAGTGCTGAGGATTGCTTCATTAATTTAGCTTTAACTGCCACCTCAAAACAATTTAATCAATAGAAACCATTTTTTATTAATTTCCTTCTCTATGAGAACTATTACAGGTGTGTAAGTTTTATACCAAATGATATACTGATGTCCGGTTATAATTGTGAAAGTGTATTAAGTATTTTACACTGTCACAATTATAACCGGACATCAGCTTAACCATCCATAAGGACCTCCTTAACCATCCATAAGGAAGGCCTGAGCCCCTGTAGTGTGGACGTAAAAGGGCTGGTGACGTGCATTAAGTATTTTGATTTTACTTATGATTTGTAAAACACACAGCAGGACGTCAGCATTAAGAAAAAAAATCAAGTGAAGAAATTTGACAGATTTCTATAACCTGGCTATACCGTATATTTTTCTGATAAAATATATACAAACTTCTCGGAAACGATACTTACATAAAAAAAAACTGTTACGTACCCGTAGTAAGCCGTTTATTCTGAACATTTGATTTTGGTTTGCATAATTAAGTTATTTATAATAAATCTCTGATTTCAGTATGCCTCTTGGAATAGTCATCCTTTAGCATCCTCCTATCTCTTGCAACTCTTTCCCAATTAGGTCCTGCGGTTAGTTTTAGCTCGTCTGCCCATCTTTTACCTTGTCTTCCTCTACTTGTTTTACCGTCTCTAGGATACCACTCAGTTACGATACTACGGTACTCCGGGATGTTCCGGTTCCGGTGTTACAAAAGTCAGATGTTTTATCCAACGCTCCGATATACCTACCCAAATTAAAAAAGTTGCGTTCAGATACACGAATAAACTTGCGTTCCGTTTTACAGTAAGATGTCAACTGAATTGTTATCAGAGCTGTCATTGCTCTTAAGAAACTAAATTTACAAACAACTACTTTTACGGAAAATATCACTACGGTCATTTGACAAAAGATGGACTAGAAAATAAAACGTTAAATTGAGAAATGAAGAAGTTATGCTAAATAATAAAATATTTAGCTCCAAGTCAAACGGAAAAAGGAACAACATATTGATCCAAGGTCTCCTTGAAGACAAAGAAAAAAAATCACATTTACATGACAACCCTACTAAAATCTACACTAAATGAGATATAAATACCCCAAGAAACAAGCGATATTGATAGGCTACATAGAATAGGCAAAAGAGGAATCAATGAAGGCAAACGAGACCAGTTACTTCAGAAAAAAAACAAATTCTGAAAAACAAAAACAAAGTTTAATTCTATCACCTATATCACGCCCCACCCGAAACCCGAAAGTCCCGAAAGCAGTACTAGATTCCAAGAAATAATATGAGAATAAAGCCACTGACAAGAAAGACATGGAAAAAGTAAAAGATCCGAAACACCTAGTCCCGGCAACCAAAACCCAACAACTTCTAAAATATATAAGAAAGATGCATTTCAGTACTTGCGACATAGATTAGCCTCCTTCTCTGAGAACATTACAAACAAGATATAATATTACCACAAGTTTTCTTAAATCAAATCAGCAAATTCAAGAAAATCTCCTACAACGACTGGTCACCGCGGGAGGATTAGACTCTAACAAAAAATCAGAAGCTACATATCGCAACTCTTAATACAAGGTCTTTGAGAACGTCAGAGTCTCTTGCAGAATTAGAAGAAGCACCGAAAGAGCTCAACTGGGACATACTAGGAAAAAGCCTATATAAAACCATATAATAAATAAATAAAGTGCAGTTTATTACTCTAGTTAACTTAAACAAATAATAACCACTGGTTCTTGTTCAGAAGTTGTTCGATTTATCATAAAACCTTTATGATTCAAGGTAAAAAGGGTACAAACAACACTAATTTATAATATTCTTAGAAAAGTCAAGGCCGCGTCGATCTGGTGGAAATACCAGTTTCAAATCTTTCTAAAATTAATAGCACATCTCGGATGGCATTAATTTGATCAGGTCAACATAAAAATTCGAACGTATAAACGTCTTAATCTGTTTAACTATAAAGTTTTTTAGATTAGAACATTACTCGGAATTTCCTGTTGAACGAATAACTTTCTAATAGTTTATAAATAAATTATGTCACACTTACGATCGGATTGTCATATTTAAAAAAATCCCTAGTCATAACATTGACACGCAAACAATTGCAACATCAAAAGTTGCTTAAAAACATTCACAGATTCGTGATCCGTAAATGTAGAAAAGCTCTAGACAGTGCTTAAATAATGCATTTTTTGTAATAAACATTATAAGAGATCACATTGTTCCTAGCAAAGAACTTATTTTTCGCACCGTTACAAAGTCTTCAGTTATGGAGCCAGGCATCTCACACTACATGCCTTAACTCTACAAATATTAAAAAGGGTTAGTTTTACCAACTTACTTCAATAATAACATGTTAAAGTACCGACTAAGCAAATAATAATAAATTATCATTTTGCAATGATTTTATGTCATAGCTTCAACTTTAAACTATAACCGCGGGCCAGTTTTTTGATCCGTAGTCAAATGTCATTTCACCATTTGTTAACTTGACTATAGTTAAAACATTAACCAGTTGCTAACCCGCTATTTCGTTTTTTGATTCCAAATTAAACCATAGCCAAATTTGACCAATGGTTAATTTGTTGCCAGCATAATGAGGCGTTTCTCGCTATACATTGACATGGGTAATTTTTTCTGGGTGACAACACTAACGGTTTGAATGAACGGTGCGAACTATATACCATTTTTGACATTAGGACTTTGTTCCAAATATCAAATAGAAAAAGAGTGTGGATGTTTATGGTTGTTCTGTTGTGTGCACAATGTGTTTTTTTTTCAGAAAATATAAGGCAATTTCTTTAATAATGTTAGAAAGCAACAAAGATAATAAAAATTGGAGTTATTTTAATCTTAACTTTTTTTATAAAAAGCATAT